TTGAACATAGTGTTACGTTCATATTGCCAGAAATCACACTCTCAGAGTATGTGATGGGCGGCAAATTCTAAATCTCTCATATTTATAAAATAGCCATTTTCCACAAATTATTTTAGATCCTACCCTTGATTTAGGGGCCGATGCCGATTCGTTGGGCCGATGCCGATTCGGAGTCGCGGGGAACCTAACGGGTAACCGGGGCTCCGGCTCGACGTGCAGGAGAAGGAACGGGGTGGTTTTTAGTCAGTAAGAGTCTGACACTCCCTCCCGCCTCACGCAGGCGGGAGCAGTCATTCGATGATTTTCCCCCCCTTAAAAAAAAAACCCTTGTATTAGAGAGGGCGAGCCTACTATCCCATGGCCCATAGCAAAAAATGGCCCGTATAAATTATTTACTACGCTACTGGGCAAAATCTGCTTGCGGTTATTGCGTACATTTTCTGTTGAAACATTAAATAATAAGCTTTGTAACATCAAAGTAAAATCTAATTTGACCTCTGGGAGTGAGGGAGCACTCAGTACTAAAGCAGAGAGACCATGTATTATTGAACAGGAAGCTGCTCACGAGAAATATGTGCGGGCTTTGTTAGCCTGCCTGGAATACCCTGTCTTAGTACATGAATAATGTTCCTGCGACTAAAGTTTTAGTTCAAAACTTGCCTAATATTTTGCTAGAAACTTTCTATGTTTGTGGGCGTTTCGTGTTTGTCTTGAAAGGTGTATAAAATTTTCATAAGTGCTTAGTTAATAGAGATAAATACATAGCTCAGCGATTAATTGCGATATACTTCACTACAAAAATACTGAGAATTGTTGTAACTCAAAGCATCAATTAGAAAACTTAATAAGTAAACTTTATTGAAGTTCTAGTGCGACTGCACGGTTGGTGCGGTGGCTGGGCAACCTTCTGCCGCGCAACGTGTCGCGGGTTCGATTCCCGCACGGAACAACTATTTGTGTAATCCACAAATTGTTGTTTCGGGTCTGAGTGTCATGTGTATGTGAGCTTATATGTTTGTAATCGCACCCACGACACAGGAAAAAATCCTAGTGTGGGCCAACGTGTTTTTAATAAACAAACAAACAAATAAATGTGGCACGCCTTCTAGTAACATAAACTAACACGGATAGCATTTCAAATAGATGAAAATTTAAATTGGACATGAAATTTCAATTTCGCGTGCCGCCATTTTGGTAGGAAACGGATACTAGTGAGCGTTAGCGTCGTCGGTTGGGTGACTTTAAACCGAATCGATTCGAAAATATAATTCACCTTCTGAGTCAAAAACGTTTGATCTAAGATTAGATGAACGACGTAGATTGTTTCCATACGTTGGTGGCTATAAAAGAAATACTATTAACGTAAAACTAGACCTGTTTTGCACAATTAACTGTGGAAATAGACGAATCCAGTTAAATGAGGTTCTATTTCGTACCAATATTTCTACCTAGTTGTTATTTTATGACTCGACGTGAATCGTGTATGCAATTTTCTGTAAATACAATTACACGTTGAACACCATGGGGGTCACCGGTGTCCGGCGTTAGCGGAGGATTTACCTTCAACAGTTTTTTATTGGCAGTCAAAGTCTACAACCAGAGTCCAAATGTAATAGAAATGCACATTTTAAAAGCGATCTATACGTCCTTTTGAAATTTATTAGCACCAATTCATTTTTTAATCAATGTGAAACTCCTTGCTATAATTAAAGCTATAATACTTTGCCAATCCATT